TGCATCTGACAACATGACCAGCAATCTCAACATCTTCGTGCATGAGCAGAAGATATTCACCTCCCTCACTATGACTTCTCTTCCCAATGATATTTCTATGAGCCAGCCTGGGATCCCTGGGATGATCACGACTCATCTCCAGATGACACCACTTCACCCCTCACCACTCATTGGGCATATGGAGCTCACCCATGGTTTCCTCTCATCCCCTTGAATCCTAGCTTCACGGTGTCTTCTTACTTGAGGTGTCTTATATAAAAGTGGTCAAAAGGCAATGACACCACAATTACACTTTTGATAAGACTGAATGCTGCCAACAACCTCAAGTTCACGTCTACGACTTTTCTTCTTTCGTGGTAGATAACGCATGTTTGTGGAGGTTACCTGCTATACAGCCGTGGTTTTCTACCTGGTTGTAAATAGGGGTTCTACAATACAAGCCTAGCTTTATCTGGCAAGACAGATAATGTAGAGTATGTAGATAGAACTTTATCTAGTCTTGAGTTTGACTAGACAAATAGAATAGATTCTGTAGGTAAGTCTCTCTAGTCCTATGTTTGACTAGATAGAGAATAGAGTTTGTGGGTGAGTCTCTCTAGTCCTATACTTGACTAGACAGAAAATAAAGAGGTGCATACTATGCACAAAACTAGGTAGCAAATAATGCTAATATTCCCCTGCCTTGATATACTAAAGGACTTATAAAAGGGAACTTGGTAGAAGCTGATTGGATTTCCCTGCCTAAATGCAAAGGGTTTAATCCAAGGAAGATGATATGATACAAGAGCAGATGATCCAACAAAGGAATCTGCAGGCACAGATAATATGGCTTGACTTGGTACTTCTAGTCCTCTGAAACTATATGTCAGATGCACACTAGACAGCACAGGTACAGTCAAGAAAAGAATAAATGATCTCAGAGCAAGTAAACCAAATGTACTTGGTCTGCACTTCCTGGCTAACACAAGAGTGTCAATGTCAGAGAAAGTGGAAGAAGTGGAGGTTCTTTTAAATGATAAAGAAGTTCTTAGTTTTTTTATTGGTGGAAAAGTGCTCTCCTTAATACATGAGATGGGAGAAACTGTATAGTACCAAGAAATAAGGTTGGAAAGAGAAATGACATCAGAGTTGCATCATAAATGACCTCATTGTGAGCCAAGTGGAGCAGAACATTCTAGCATCCAATGACATCACTATGACATCATAGATGGCTTCATAGCATCCAACAGAATATTCCAGAAATTTCTGTGGAGCTATATGACATCATCATGACATCATACCCTGCAGGTACATTTTATGGAGTCTCTGGGAGGTCAAAGAATCAAGTAGGTAAAGAAATGAAAGAAAAATATGAAGAAAATAAAGTAGAATAAATCATAAGACAGAACAAATCAAAACACTGGCTTTTTAGATAGGGTTTTGGTAGGCTTTTATCTTTTCTCCTTGGTTATTTCTAGTCAAAGGAAATAAGCCAATGATAGGCAATAACCTAAGCTTTTGTATGACTAACAACTTTGACCAGGTCAATATATGATTTCTTCATCATATTTGACTTTTCTTCAACACACCATATTTTTCCATGATTGGAGCATGCAAAGTGAAATATTGCACTTGAGTCTGTACTCAAAGTACATTTTGTGTAGTCTGAGGACTAAGCTAACAGACTATGGAAACGTGGGATGATATGTCATATACATGTTCTTCATGATTCCCAAATCATGCAGGACAATGGTCCAATATTTGAGTGTCTGAACCACTCGATGTTCTCCCTGCACACAGAGCTCAACAGCCAGGGAAAGCACATCCTCCACTGTGACATTAGAGAAAGCTGGTGTGAACTAGAGAAGAAGTTACTCTGGTGCCAGGAGCTTTTGGGAGCTGGACTCCTAGTTCCATGGGGCACTGTACTTGCACACCCTCCTGCTCAATATGGGTACCTAATGTCACATTCAGATGTGAAGCTTGCTAATGTTAAGAACCATGCTCAAAGGAGAGAGAGACTGACTCAGAGGGGCTTGGCCTCAGCTCGTATGCTGTGCCCCTTACCCGAGTATGTGCCCTTCATTTCAGAGGAAGTCCAGAGGACTGCCAGAGGCTGGCTACTCTGGTGGAGAGTGTGGGAGGACTTCCGGAGGAGCGCAGGAAACATCCGGGGGAGCATGGGAGAGTTCCAGAGGAATGCAGGAAATGCTTAGGAGAGTTCCCACTGCAAGGTAATACTTCTACAGGAAATCAGGATGGAAGGATAGGAGGTCTGGAGGACAGGAGGACAAGATGTCCAGAGGTCTGGAGTATGGAGGACAGGAGGTCCAGAGGACAGGACATGGAGGTATGGAGGATGGAATGTCCAAAGGTACGGAGGGTGGAATGTCCAAAGGACAGGATGCCCAGAGGTATGAGGGACAGGAGGTCCGGAGGTCCGGAAGGAATAGGGGCTACATCAGACAAAGTCCGATGCAGAAGCAAACAGAGGTAGACTACCCTAAGGTAGAGTCGGAGGGACAGGAAGTGGACCTAAGTCCAGAAAGAGGGTAAGTGCCGGAAAGGCAAGACTCCAGCCTAGGGAAGCAATCCCTAGACTTGGGACAGAGACATAGGGGACAAATCCGAAGGTCTGGAATTCCGGCCTAGGGAATCCTTCCCTAGGCCTTATGGAAAAGGACAAGACTCAGATGGACTGAAGTCCAGAAGATGATTGGCAAGTAGAACAGGATCTAAGATGATATTCAGACTGAGGACTCTACTGTAGTTGTACAGGGGTTATATACTAGAGGCTATCTGAGAGGATCAGTAAGCAAAGGAGTAAGGCTATGTACGAGCATGTGGAAACACATTGGTAAGTAAGACGGAACATAAGTAAATGAACTCGGAGATGAAACTAGTACAAGGATCAATCAGCAAGACGGAAACAGAGATAACTGAGAACCAGAAAGGCGGAGATGCCTAAATGGGGATAGGCGCAGGATCTCGGACAGAGGGTGGGAATAGGTCCGGAGATAGTACAGTTAATATCCGGAGGTCCGGAGATCTGGGGATCTGGAAGGCAGGGCAGAAACAGGACTGAGATATGTGAGGTGGTGAATGTAGTCCAGAATCCGAGAGGAGGTAAGTCCGGATGTCTTGCTGGACAGAATGTGTGTAGGGTGGACAGGATAGGGGATCCAGGAATGAGTCAGATATGGGGTCCGGAAATAGGTCAGGAAAGCGTGGGAATATGATGGGATCTATGTCTGGCATACAGGATATGACAGCTAAGAAAGTTGCAATGAGATCTTGCAATGCATTTCTATGTATGCAAACCATTTCTTCAATCTCATCACAACTGACACATGTCTAGTAATCACTGCTGTGTGCTCATGGCACATCATGACTTGTCAATATCGCAGATCAAATTGTCTGTGGATGGCTCTCCTCATCAATGACCCCAGATGCCCCATACCAGCTGAATGGGTTCATGAATTGTCGTGTTCATTTGTCAGAGATCTGTCAACTAAGGTTCCACACACAGGCGTCTTCATATCCTCTGTTCACTGCCCTTGGGAACTACAACTACCCATGTTCAAACACTTCAAAATCCCAATCTGGGTTCACTGCCAACAAAACTTCCATGTGAATTTGTGTCATTATAACCCATCTCAAGAAGCTGTTTCCCATGCAATTGAGGCGCAGTGCCCAAGTAACAGTGCCTGGGGTCAGGATGATGGCATCTGGGGTAAGTGGGATGGTGAAACTGAGACCCAGAGTGCCCTTGGATGGGGTGACAATGCAACTCAGACTGCCCTTGGATGGGGCCCTGCACCTGAAGCTCCTCAAGTGGACTCTCACTTTCCAGTCCCTCAAAAACTCAGTGGCCAAAAATCAGGAGAAGACTGGAAGGCCTTCTTTGCACAGCACCTTGAGGAAAATCAGAAGAAGCAGAAGAAGGAATCCCCAGCTCAACATCAATCACATGAGAGTCAGGAACAAGCAGTGAAGAGCCATAATCTTCCTGGAAAGTCCAGTATGGTCATGGTATTTGAATGGCAACCTCAAGATGAGTTTGGAGGCTTTTTGCTATGCATCTGCCTCACCAAGGCCAAGGTACTGATGACCTGGGGGAACTACAGTAACTCCACCAGATGGTTTGACTCATTCAGAAATGAGTGGGACTTGTATGATCAGTTAGATCCCACCAGCACCCCCAACAGTGACTGGGAAGAAGACAACTTCAATTTCTCAGACCCCATCCCTGATCCTCTGCTGCCACCACCCACTGTGCCTCCATCATTGTCCGGCTTCCTGCAGGACATTCGCAACTAATTTGGATGTCATGAGGTTGCACCCTTGTCCAATTATACTGAGGGTGTGGAATGCTTTGTCACTCACTTACAGTTTCACCTTGGCTTCCATCTGTCAGCATCGACTACTAGATCCATTGGTGGATCTGCCACTTTCAAAAGTTGGGTCAAGAAGCAGAAGTTCAGCCACATTTGCAACATTGTCAGGGACTCAGGCAAGGATGTCGACTTGATTTCAGATGTGCAAAAGCATGTCATTACATGCTTCATAGGTTACCTTGCCACCCTGCCCACATCTCAGTTGTCTGAGATCCTGTCTGATCACTGGGACCTGGTGCCTGGGACTCCCTTGTTGGCTTTGAATGCATTCATTCAAGTTTCTTATCTCAATATCCCCAGCCAGGAGTGACTCTATGTCATCCAGCCAAGTCAATCAAGAAGTCTTGTTCCCTGGAAACTTGTGGTCCCCAACACTGCTACAGCTGTGATGTGCCTCCACTGTGACTGGGGGTCTGACATCTTGACCATTGCCCTCAAACTCCTGAAAAAAGGCATTCCATTCAAGACACTGCAGCCCATGGCAGTTTCTCCTTGCACTCAGCGCCCACTCAGTGAACTTCATACATACTCGCTCGGATACTTCCGCCCCCCTTCAAGGCAGTTTATGCAGATTATATCACATATGAGCAGTATCACCATGAGTTCATGAAGGAGGATTGTGCACAAGCCACTCTTCTTCACAGCGGGATCTTATGGCAGCTAGTGTTACATAGCCTTGGCTTTGATGTCCTCCCCTTGGCCCTGATTGGCATTTCACAGGATGCTGTCCCATTCAGACAAATGTTGTCTCTCAATGGCAAGACTCACTTTGATGATGATTGGTTGGAAGAGGAGGTTGATTTCATTTGCAGGATGTATTATGTGTACACGAGTAAGTTTCCCTATTCATATTGACCCGCAGCATGCTCATATTTGAATCATTAGATAACAGATGCATTGAAAAATTGTCTTGGTGGCCAAGGCCTCAGGCCTGAGCTGGGTCAGGACTGGATGTGGGGTTCTGGTCTGCTTGATGTGAAGCCTGGTTTCAGATACACCTTGAAAACATTCATCAAGGTGTTTCTTGACACCACAATTCATCTGACAATAATGGGCCAGTGAACAACATGCATTGGAAACATGGACTCAAGTTCAATGGGGCAACAAAGAAATTCAAGAAGAACCTCAATGCAGCATGTTCTAATTTTCTTGCTATGAAAGCAAGTGGTAAGCTATCTTTTTGTTGTTTGTTGTACATCTCTGATTTCCTCTCAGCCTTCACAGACAATTAGATGACCTTGTATGATTACTATACCATGGTGTCAACACAAATTGATTTTGTGGCATCAAACGCTCCATCCTTACAATATGTAAATACTGTACTGTTAGAATGTGGAATATGAGTTTTCTTTAAATGGGAGATTATCTACTCATGAGTGGGTGGTGAGTGGGTGATTGTCAGGCAATTAATTTTGTCTGGAGACAAACTTGATGTTTTAGCTTCATGTTTTATTATCAGGAGGTATTTTAAATTTAAACACCCATCTAAGTAGTGGTCTGAATTTTGTGTATGAGCAGACATTCAGTCACATGCAATTGTTGAAGTTTTTTTGAGTCTTAAATGTGAAGTTTCATTTCAAAGTATAGGCCAGCATTAAAGATATATTTATATTTCTTATTATCATTGACGTTCAGACAGTAACAAAATGTTCACTGATACTTTATATTTCTATTGTCATGCAAGATCTCTTTAACATTTGAAATTTTACATGCACCTAGACAACAACCTAAATATTAAGTATTATTTTAACATTTTGCATGACATTCAAACCTGTCTTAAATATTGTGGACCCCATAGTGTAGGGCTTACTACTTAGTAACAAGGTCAGGTACCTGACATCATTACTAATAATAATGTTTGATGTCACTTAGGTGTGAGATCAAGTGTGGTGAACGCTATCATGAAATCCAGCTTTTTGTTCCAAAACTTTCACTCCTCTACCCTACTAGTACTTATCCTAGGACTGGATGGCCTTCCATCTTCTTCAACACAATGCCTGCCTTCAAGTTCCACAGACAAAGTGCCCTATTGTTCAAGCTAGTAATGATCGGTCATCCATCATTTACCAGAGAAACTGTGATTGCCCTTATGCATCCTTTATGGCCTTTGAACTCTCACAGTAATGTAGTGATTGGAACAAGCTTTGACATTTTACTGGAGCTTGATGGCGTTGGGGTGGACTTTGGAAGGATTGTAAGTGTCTTGGCAAGAGGTGTGGGATCAAGTAGTTCAAGACACTAACCTGTCATAACTTGGGTACCCCCTACACCTACCATGACAGTGTGATGACAGTGTGACCGATCATGTAATTTAGCTATATTAGGTAGTTGTTCATCACAAAATGACAAGTTAAAATGGATCAATTCAACTATCACAAAGCAAAACAGACAGCTGCAGTGATATAATGGATGAAGACAAGTACATAGGCGACTGGAATAGGTTCATAAAGTAAGAAATCAAGCACTGAGTACAGAAACAGTAGTTCCAATGGTTGTTCAGGCCTTCTTTGATGGACAGGATGGACCAGCTTGTGCTCCAGCACATTTGGATCCACAAGAAACTAACAGAGGCACATTCTCCTTGCTGATTTCTGTTGTGAGAACAGGCAAGTGAACAATGGGAGAGGGAGCTAGAACACAAAGGTACAATCTCAGTTTCAACTAGAACTCATATTAACATGCATAGTACCTAGAACACAAAGGTACACTATGGTTTTGGTCAGCTAATGCTGACATACATGTTTCCAAGTACTCACATCTCAGTTTCAACTAGAACTGATATGTGCACATCTGATGGGTGCTTGGTTTTATAGCAAGGTAAGTAAGGAATGCAAAGGTGAAGTTTTCTGACATATGTATATTGCAGGGCACAAGCCAATGTCATTTGGGCGCAGCCTATTGGCCTGTCTGGCTCATGCGCTTGGACCTCTCTCTCCCACTTGTACCTATCATGTTGGATCCTTCAGCTTCCTCACTCTCTTTCTCTTCAGATCATTTGGACTTCAACACATGTGTGATGGTACTTGAAAGTCTATAATCGGTGTCTGCGAATGTCCAGATGATGTATTAGAATAATGCGAATGACAACTTGATCCAAAATGCGTCATTTGATAGGAATCGTCCTCAAAGTCCATGATGTATGCAGTGTTGTTGTCATTATTACTAGAAGCAAACCATGAGTCATAATGTGTAGATTTATGAGTTGTAGAATACATAATGAATGAGGTTTAAGGAGAGAGAGATGCAAGTCATTGACAAGATGTGTCAAATCAATATTGACACATCATATCGATATTAATTATTAGTCACATGTTCTCAAAAATCACATCCAAGATCTGACATTTAGCAGGTACTGTCTCTACATGCTTGTATTTCATTAGAATAACTATCTAGATCTATTCTACAGTAGTAAAAACACCCCCTTTAAAGTACTCACCAGACGATTTTACAATGATTTGAGACCGCTGGCGAGGAACTCAAAATGTGTGGCTTGTAACTTCATGTGGCTATGTATTAAGGTTTTTTTGCTTATCTAAAGTTGAGCTCTGTGTTCGGGATTTTGCAAACACACACCTCTTGTGTCTTGGTCTAAGTTGCATAGGTGCATGTATTGTGTGTTTTATGCTTCTTTACTGCATCAACATACCTCGTTTCTATAGATGCCCAAGACACAAGGCTGTTTGCCTCTGCATCTGTGTGTCCAACTCTTGTTTCTACAGCTTCCAGAATGTATCCCATCGCATCTAATCGTGCAGTTGGTGCATCCCAGTGTGAAAGAGAAATAGCGACTAGGCTTGCTAGAAACTAGCGCTACTTATCCAAATAGGTGCGAGTGTAGTATTCGACCCAAGAGGACTGCTAATGAAGCAACTCCCTACTAATATGCAAGGGGAGCGATAGCACGAAGGACTAATAACCTATAGTGACCTAAGACCAAAAAAAAGAACGATGAGTAGCACTATAGCGATCAGCTTCATTTGACTAGCAGGTTCTGACAAGAGAAATGTGCATATAAGTGAGAGGTGCTATGCAAGTTGTTTTATGCAATAGTGCTATGCAACGTCTGACTAGCAACAGCGAGAAGAAATCAAAGGGAGCGAAAATGAGGAGTAAGGTAAGACAGTGCAAGTGGAATGCCCGATAACGACTAGATTATAGCTCAACTACCAATAGCGATCCTGACATCTGAAGCAAGTCAAGTGACACACAATCAAAGAGTTTGGCAAGAGCGGAATCAATTGCACTAAAACTAGGATATAGCAACTAAAGTGACTCCTACACCAGTAAAGATCTGGGGAAGGGAAGTACTGTACTGTATGTAGGACAGGTCATTTTATCATACTGTGTAGGGGTTTGGGATTGTGTAGGCGAGTATAGTAGCAACACTGGCGAGGGCATGATGTAGTGACAGGTAATAAAACATGCAGCACTGCAGAACACAAGGACACATGTAATAAGACCTGTGACTGATGAGTAGCAACATTTAAGGAAAAATAACACACCAGCGGAGGTAGGTGGACATAGGCAGGACATGGGAGGACAGAATACCTAGGTGTCAGACCGAGTAGTGTGCTATGGGAGAAAAGTGGTTCCAAAGTGGATAGCTTGGGAGCTGAATAGCACTGGTGACTAGTGCCTTACTCTTTTCCTCTGGACAAGGCAAAATATGCCTATGACACTCATATACGCCTAGCACTGGTATGATTGTCACACCGGCCCTCCAATCTGACTATCCTACATGACTGCATGAGTAGCATTGTCTTTTGGGGTCAGGTAGCTGCTCTAGCATATTACCATGTTACAAGGACTCTGGCAAGAGCATCGCCTGAATGTCTCTCTGTCAGGGACATGTCACATGTACCCACTGGAGCAGGCAGAAAAGGAATGTACTGGGTTGGATGTAGGGAGTAACGAATGGTGAGTGCTGCAGCAAGCCCAGGAGGGTTTTATTTGTTTTCATCATGTCTCATTTTGCATCAATGTGTAGCAATACCTATAATTCAATTGACGTGTTTCATTAATTCCTCTACAGTGCTTCTAGGGATCCGAGCTCCTTATGGTGCACTATCCTAGGTAATTGATTCCTTCCCTCCTTCGCCTCCTTCCAGCGTTCAATTTTTGCTCTCAACACACCCCCAGTGAATAGTGAATCCAGACGAAAGCAGATATCAGATAGATGTATCCTTGTTGTCTGGAGCCTACTTCTGGGCTTAACAGATGCATCAATGGCTACCCAGCAGTTCGACCCAGCGGTGTGACCATATGTGCTGCTCAGAGGCTAATACTGGTTTTGTTTGTTGAAGGTCACCATTCAAAATGTCATACAAAGCCAATTGTATGCTTCCTCATCTTCATTTCGCTTTTATTTGAGGTTGCGTTGATGAAGCTGCGTTCTTCGAATTTGCCCGAATTATTCTCCATGGATTGTACGTTCTGATAGATTACTTGCAAAGTGGGTAGTTTTTTGTTTAATGCAAACAGCTTAGTGAGCTCGTGTGTTGTGGGAAAGATTATTACTCGCAGTATCCTCTCTTACCAACCGAGAAGATACGATTTCTCTATCTAAAAATCATTGATCAAGTATTCTCTAGGATACTCAAGAAAAGACGGACCTCTACCATTAGACAGGTTGCATCTCTAACGAAGCTGGCGCAAAAACAAGAGGAAGGGACAAGTTCCCGGTGGAAGTTTCTTCAGTGTGGTGGGCTGTGTTGTACAGCTCGCGGTGCATGCGTGTCGCTAGTATTCCGTGTATCGCGACCTGTAAACTACGAGACAGTCAGTCAATATGGTCTGTTCAAGAAACAGCCCTTACATTGATGTTACATCTCCGTATGACGCCTGCGATCAGATCTTGAATTAGACGTTGGATTCGTAATTATGAACACGCACGGGAAGAGTAAGCACGACGACCACAAGGTCCCGAAATCTTACACAGCCTCAGTATGCACCACCTTCGACTCATTCAACTGGGCTCATGGATAGCAGGAAAGGGGATCTCGTGCAGTGTCTACTCTTACCAACCGAGAAGATATGAATTCTCTATCTAGATTTAAATCATCGGTCTAGTATTTTCTATGGTAAAGAGAAGAAGGACCTTTATTATCAAGTTACACCTCCGATGAAGCTGGTGCAAAAGCAAGAGGAAGGACACATTCCCAGTGGAAGTCTCTTCAGTGTGGTGGGCTGTGTTGTACAGCTCGCGGCGCATGCGTGTCGCTAGTATTCCGTGTATCACGAATGTAAACTACGACAGTCAGTCAATATGTCAGTTCAAGAAACAGCCCCTTACCCTGATACCGCATCTACGTACGATGCCTGCAATTAGATCTTGAGTTAGACGTTGGATTTATAATATTACAAATGCGCACGGGAAGAGCAACCACGGCGACCACAACCGGTGGAAATACTGGTCGCTACAAATGTTAGTGTCAATTTGTGAGAATGATGTTTTGCTCACCAAGCCCACAGGCAAAATAAAACACGTTATGTTTGACAAGGACCCGTACAAGAGGCGCATCGTTTCCATGTTCT